CGTCTGGGTGCGGTGGAGGGCAAATTCGCACGCCGGTGCTGGTAGTGGGAGGCACAGCAGCTGCGCAGTGCCAGGGTGGAGCAGCGACATGAGTAGCGGGGATAGGCGAGGGTGGGGAGAAGCAGCAGACAGCGGCAATGCGTGACTGGCGTGCAGCATTAAAGAGGAAGGAATATTGTGTGAGGCTGACTGGGTGGCGCGGTGGCCGCAGAGTGTGGCTGCCGCTTCTGCTCTTGCAGCGGGGAATATGCCGCCACACTCTTTTTGTATGTTGCGTTGGGGGGCAACTGTGCAGGCGACTGAGCAGCACGCGGATGGTCTCACCGCTGCGGGTGTTGCCCACGCCGTCCGCCTGCATTCCTGCTTGGCCCACGCCTTTCCACGCGGCGGCACCGTCAACTGCAACGGCACGCTGAGAAGCTGTGGGTTCCACCGCCACGACGACTGAAGGAGGCGGAGGCATCTGCGGCTGCCTTTGCAGGCTGCGCCCCGTGCGGCCTAGTCGTGTGGCAAACAGTTCCCTCTCGGAATTCACGTGCACCGCACCACGTGCTGGGCGCAGCGTATATTTGCGTCGCGGGGGACAATGCGGTGGCGTCCCTCCTTCTTTTCGCGGGTGAACGAACAGGCGGCGGGTGTTTTGCTCCTTCGTACCTCAGCGAATTGCAGCGCAAAATGCCACCGCGACGAGGCAGTCAATTTCACTGTGAGTGGGTGATGTTTGCGTGTGACTACACACACACAGAGCTGTGGGGATCTGAATGTCAGGTGCAATACGAGAAGAAGATAGAAGCCTCGTCGCAGTTGTTGTGTGTGCCGTGCAATTTGCACGGTTTGCCTAGGGAGATCTAATTTGCCCTCGTTGTTTGTGTAGGTGTGCGCCGCGTGCCGTGTGTGTGGGTGGCCTTCTCTCTCTCTTTTTCGTTGCGGCTGCGTGGGGTCGTGTCTCTGCCTGTTTTTTTTTAATAATTTCATTCTCCCTTTTGACTGCTGGTTGAGTATTGTGCTGCAGTTCAACTCAAGTTAACCACTACGAAGGAAAACATGTCTGAGAGACGCAAGGAAGAATCTCACGCCACCGAGGAGCCCCCGCACAGCGTCGAAGGGTGGAAGGAGCGCCGTAGCGGTCAAGGTGGACGCTTGCAAGCTCTATCGAGGATGCCCGTAATGTGCGGGTTGGCCAAATCAATATAATTTTGCTGAACGACTTCCTTTGGCAGTACGTTGGCCCCAACAGAGCGGTGGGTGAAGACCAAAATGTGGTGATGGAGGTGTTTGTGCGTGGGCCAGACAGGTACGTTACAGAGCAGAGGCGTCGTGAAGGAATCCTCGATTCCACCAGGGTATCAGCTTTTTGAAGATGCACGCAAGCTTACGGAGCGCATGGTGGGCACGCTCCGAGACTGGAAGGAATTTACAGATAATGAGTATTGTCTCTGCTGTTACACGGACAAAACTGAAGGCAGCTCTTCAACTAGCGTAGGAGGAAGGGGCAACACGAGAAACCGAAATACGCCCCAGACAACCATCGCCGGAGGCATTCTACGAGTCCGTGTTTAACGCAACGTGGAGTCACGTTGTGGGATTTCCCGAGGGCGAAGGGGAAGACGTGGTGGTGAGAGAGGGCTAACGGCCGCAAGAGTTATGGGAGTACACGCAGACTGTGCGTACTTTTCTCTCAGTGGGTGGTGAGGGCAATTCCGTCCACCACGCCCACGACTCATGATCTTTTCCCCTGAAAAGCGATGACCGTACTCGTTGAACCATTCATTGCCTATTGCCGACTGCTACATTAACATTGAGGTGCATCGGGTGTGGAGGATCGTCGGGGGCGATCTAAAAGGAGTGTTTCCCCCTCCAGAGAGAGACGCACCTAAAATGGGGTGTCGTCTTTTGGTTGGAACCCCCGGGGTAGGGAAGTCAATGGCGTCTGTCTCCTACCTCCTTCACCAGCTGCTGCACTACGATGCCACGAAGCTCCATGTGGTTGTGTACTGCTTTGGAAGGGATTTCACATACTTGTTTGACAAGAGCACACGAACGGTGACAGAATACAGGGGTGGGAGTGATATTAGAGGGGCTGTGAGAAAGTTGGATGGGAGTGGAATGAAGGGGTATATCATCATCGATATGGCAAGACAATTTAACGAACCATCGAATGATGTTGTGCCCTCCCCTGAGTGGGGCATCATTATGTTGTCATCCCCGAACGAAAATAACTTCAGAGCCTGGAAAAAGCACGCAGGTGCTATCAAAACCATCATGAATTGCCCCGATGAAAACAACGTGAAGGCGATGTGTGCATGGGAGACACGCAATACGACTGAGGAGGAGCAGGCGAAGTATTGGAGAAGGATGCACATGCACATGGATGACGTCGGACCGATTCCACGATGCATCTTTCGATTCAATGAGTATAAGGACCGCGTGGAGGAAATCAAGGAAATCCTGGCAGGCATCGACGTCTCAAATGCTGTACATTATGGGATGATTGGAGGTATGGAAGAGTGTCCCTCGAATGACGCTTCTCACAAACTTGTGAAAGTTGTCAGATTAGTAACACAACGCGGTCTTGAGGCGTTTGTTAACCTGCCGGTCTGTTTTTCTCTTGGAAGCAAATTATTTGCGAGGCTGCTCGAGGTGGGTGAGGAGAATGACATTATTTTTCGACTATTGAAGTACCGTTGAGTGTTAATTCCGGAAATTTTGGAGCGGTGCATTCTGCTCGCATTTCTGAGTAGAGACTTTGTGGAAAATATAGTGCCAGGCCTCAACGAGTTGCCTCCACCAGGACATCGTCGGCAACAGAGATGTGTGCAGCAATCGAACCCCGAAAAGCATCCAAGCAGACCCGTTGGATTAATGGCGCTG